AGATCATCAAGTTCCAACCCCCCTGCCATGGCCAGGGACACCTCGCTCTAAACCATATCACCCAAGGCTTCGTCCAACCTGGCCTTGAACACGGCCAGGGATGGAGCATTCACAACCTCCCTGGGCAACCCATTCCAGTGCCTCACCACCCTAACAGGAAAAAAGTTCCTCCTTCTATCCAATCTAAACTTCCCCTGTTTAAGTTTTAACCCATCACCCCTTGTCCTATCACAACAGTCCCTAATGAAGAGTCCCTCCCCAGCTTACCCCTTGTCCTATCACTACAGTCCCCAATGAAGAGTCCCTCCCCAGCATCCCTATAGGCCCCCTTCAGGTACTGGAAGGCTGCTATGAGGTCTCCACGCAGCCTTCTCTTCTCCAGGCTGAACAGCCCCAACTTTCTCATCCTGTCTTCATATGGGAGGTGCTCCAGTCCCCTTATCATCCTCGTGGCCTCCTCTGGACTTGTTCCAACAGTTCCATGTCCTTTCTATGTTGAGGAAACCAGAACTGCACACAGTACTCCAGGTGAGGTCTCACAAGAGCAGGTGAGGTCTCACAAGAGCAGCCTGGGGTGCAATACACACAGGCAGCAGAAGGTGTTTGGGTTGCAAGTGTGTCTGAAGCACTGTCCTGGGCTTCAAGCAGAGTCCCACAGCCACTGGACCCCATGCAATGCAAGGGAGGACAGAGAGAAGAGTCCGCTCTGTTTGCTGTCACTGAGACCCAAGCTAACCACGTTATAGCCCTCCTTTTCTCCTCCTGATTCCTCCAGCAAAGCTGCTCCCGCTCATCATCCTTCACCCTACAAGCTGCTCTATGCTCCTGCAGGACAAGAAGTTGCTCTGTGGTCCACTCTTGGAGGCACAAGAAAGGACTCAGTGGACTCAAACCTGCAGGCTGGATGTGGCTCACTCTTTCTTCAAGAAGCTGCAAAACTTCTGTTTCTCCCCCCCACATACACCTTGCTTTCTCATTTTGGTAACTTCAGACCAGCAGCAAGGCCTGATTTCACTCAGTCTGAACCTGTGTAATCTGCATAGAAAAGCCCTCAATTCTCTCTTTCCATCCTGATTCGTTTCCTCCTGTGATGTGGAAGTTTCTGTATCCTTGACAAGTCCACATCTGTGTTTCTGAGGAAGCAGTTCGGGGTGATGGGGCAGTATTCAGGCTAGTCTCAGTTTCAGTAGAAGGGTTATTTCCCTTGCTCCTAATCTCTCCTGCATATCACATTTCCTCTGTTTCATAAATGAACAAATTTACTGTAATCATTGGAGTTTTCCTTCAAAATTAAAGGCAGGCTAATACAGAACTATGCACGTATTAACTCTGACTTTGCTTTTGTGACATCAGATGTCTCTTAACCAAAAACATATTGTTTTGTGAAGTCTAGTGATTTTAGGCACCTTCAAAACAAGGGAGTTAACCGCCCATTAACTATTAACCTTTCTTCATCATAAACAACCCAGCTCCAGATCAATGGTGTTGACATTTGCTTTCGCAAATGCAAGTGTTTGTTTCTATCTCTCTGTAAACAGAGGTAATGTCTTCATGGCCTTTTCGTTTTAGTTGACATTGAGAAACACACAGTGTAAAGACACAGCCCAGAAAGCCCTGGCTGCAGGGCTGGCTCTTCTGGGGAGGTTCGGAGTCTCATGCTAAGGGTGGCTCCGAGGTTCAAGCAGAGCTCCATGGGTTGGAGTGCTTGAAATCCAGAAGCTTTCTTAGAAGTTCATTTGGATGAATGAACGTTCCCCAGATCTGACGTTTGGCCTCTGCGCCATTTCAGCCATGCCCCAGGCAAGCCTAGGATTCAGGACCACACGTTTGGTGGGGCAGATGCCCTCACCTCTGCCTGGATGAGATAAACTACATTAAAAAGCAAGAGAGGCTGGAGCCAAGTATTGGAGAGAAAAAGGCCATCTGCTGCCCAGAGAAGCTGTGGCTGCCCCATCCCTGGCAGTGCTCAAGGCCAGGTTGGACACAGGGGCTTGGAGCAAGCTGCTCTAGTGGAAGGTGTCCCTGCCCATGGCAGGGGCTGGAATTGGATGAGGTTTAAGGTCCCCTTCAACCCAAACCATTCTATAATTGCTCCATGGTACAACCGCTGTATTTGCTGGAGCTTCTTTTGTCCCAGTCAGGTCACTGGTAAGGGAAGACAAACACTGCAAAGTGAAATGTGTCCTCACATGGGTTCTGTCAGGGAGCAATAGGGTCAGAGTGGAAATACAGGAAGATGCCAGAGAAAGGTTCCTTCCTATTCCCCCAAAACCTACTGGAAAATAGGCTGCATGCATTTCACTGTTTTCCAGTCTAGAGGCTGCACCTGGGGCTGTTGATACCAATGCTACTTCTTCCCATTTTTTCCCTCTATCCCATGCTGCAGCTCAGAGCTGCTGTCTGAAGCAACCACTAGAGAAAGGATTTAACAGCCCAGAAGACCCAGGCATGGCATCCCTGTCTCTGCTTCAACCACAAGCTCCCACACTGGCCACAAGGCTAAAAATAAATGAGAGCTATGTAAATCAGAGAGCAAGATGTACTTTTCCTTCAGTCCTGCAGGTCTGAGCAGGAGCAGCTAAAAGAACGGAACGGTTTTGTTGTTTTCCTCAGCTTACTTTGATCCTCCCATGGCTAAGTTATGAAATGGTGGTAGCACATTTATTGACTCCAAGCATTCATTCAGAAGCTGCAGACCACCGAAACCCACAATTTTACTCATGGAGCAATCCCTCTCCCAACAGAAGCACCAGTTTCAGGCTCATAAATAACAACAGTAGAGAAAGAAGAAAAGCCTAAATCAGATGGGGAGAGAGGGTTCAATAACAAACACAGCTTGCTTTTCAAAACAGCCTTGCAAAAATGCTGTTTGTACCACAGGTCTCAGCTGGACAATACAAGGAATGTCAGGAATCTTATTTCTCGAGTCCATTCTTTGGGGAAAAGGCAGTTTTTAAGAAATACCTGATGATACGATCCTGAAAACAATTCTATAAATCACAGCTGATTCAGCCCCGAAACAGCTATTTTGGAGCTCCAGCAACCATGGCAAGAGACGTGCACATATCTATTACTTTTGGTCTGTGTTTCTTTCAGGACAGTTTATTCCAAGACCTAAGTGCTTTGCACGTATCTTCTTAGAACCATAGAATCCCAGACTGGTTGGGGTTGGGAGGAACCATAAAGCTCATCCAGTTCCAACCCCTGCCACGGGCAGGGACCCCTTCCACTGGAGCAGCTTGCTCCAAGCCCCTGTGTCCAACCTGGCCTTGAGCACTGCCAGGGATGGGGCAGCCACAGCTTCTCTGGGCACCCTGTGCCAGCGCCTCAGCACCCTCACAGGGGAGAGCTTCTGCCCAAGGTCTGATCTAAACCTGCCCTCTTTCATTATCATATTTTTCTGTTTCATGTTTTAATCACCTCCTCAGCACACAAAATAGCCGCGTTTCCTCACTGACTCCTCTCCATCCTCTTGTGAGACAGCAGCGAGCACAGTGGCAGCTTCACCAGCATGGCTGACAGCAAGCAAAGGACAGAAACTACAAGAACTCATCCCAGTTTTCCCCATGGCATTGCCTAATTGGCAGTGACAAGCAGCAGAGATGCAAAGGCATCTACTGCCCACCAGAACCCCCCAGGTCATGGGATCAGCTGTGTGTCTACACTCACTGCATCAGCAAGGTATCAAAGGAGACATCCAGAGTGAATCTCCAGACCTGCTGGATGTAAAGCTCTGTTCCTTGCGTGCCTGTGACACAGAGCAGAGATGTGACACAGGAGCTTCCTGAGGATGGATGGGCTAGTTAACACACTGGCTGTCTCTGTGTAGCTGCTTGGAAGGAGCTGGCTTAAAGGATGGAGGCTTGATGGGCAGGCAGGGAGTCTGTGTGCTTCTTTGACAGGCTGCAGTAGCAATCTTTTGGGTGGAAAAATGATGAAAGCTTTGGAAACCGAAGGATCATTTCAGGGAAGGTTGAGGGAGGATTTAAAGTAAACTGGGATGGTGTCTGCACCAGGATGCCAGCACTGCCAGGTACCCTGTGAGGAGGCCACCCTTACAGCCCATCTCCTTCCTGGAGGAGGTGATTTCCTGGCCATGAAGCTGAGGATTATTGAAGGTCTTACCACTTTTCCCAGACAAGGAAGATGACGTGGCATCAAGAGAGCAACTGAACAAGGCTGGGTGTTGGGAGACGTCGTCATCATGGATGGTCTGTGCAGGAACAGCATCACAGCACAGCTCAGCCACCTTCCCCTCCTCAGTGCCTGTGTGTAACCCTGTAACAGGGCAGGGAGCAGAGGCTGATGATGGCAGTAGACAGATTCCCATGCCCAGAAAATCATGGCTTCACAGGAAAAAAACATGTTCATAGAAACATAGAATGGTTTGGGTTGGAAGGGACCTTAAAGCTCATCCAGTTCCAACCCCTGCCATGGGCAGGGACCCCTTCCACTAGAGCAGCTTGCTCCAAGCCCCGGTGTCCAACCTGGCCTTGAACACTGCCAGGGATGGGGCAGCCACAGCTTCTCTGGGCACCCTGTGCCAGCGCCTCAGCACCCTCACAGGGGAGAATTTCTCCCTAATATCCAATGTTCTTCAGGTACATCTCATGTCTACCAAATGCCACAGACCTGTTGGCTTGCTCCACCATTAGCTCTGTATGGACAGCCTCCACATCGACCTTGGTGGTACCCAAGTTCATCCTCCCTCCCTCCAGCCCCAGCTGCAGGGCACTGGGGTGTCTCAGCTGGTGCTGCCCCATATCCACAGTCACTTTGGCCCTGCTACCCGCAGTGTCAGTGGCTGAATTCCCCTCATTTGAGTGCTGCCCTAAGTGATTAACCAGACAAACACCACCCCACGGCAGACCAGCTGGACGGGTGACTTGAAAGCAGTTTTGCTCATGATGCGCTTGGACTCTTGCTTGGCGAGAGCGAAGGGTGAAGCTAAAAACATCACCCACCAGTGAGCACAGTTTTGCATTTCAAAGAAAAAACAATTTTACTTGCTAATAAATGATTTGTTTATTTACCCTTTCCTCCCAGAGAATGGCTTCATGGCTGCAAGTCCAGATAACTTATGCTTCTATTTAACCCACATGTGACTTCGAGGTCATCCATTCAGGGAAGTGTAGTATTTCTTACCATGGTATGGAACAAAAATAGGGCTGGACTCTTGCCAGATGGGAGGTTTGTATCTCCCCATGCAGAAGACACCCAAGTGGCAGTCTGGCTGGTGGCCATACGTAGGGGGAGAGGTCAGGAGCCGTCCATCAGGTTGGGTCCTTTCTGGGTGAGCATAGCCGAGTCAGTAAGTAGTTAAGTCTCCTGCTCCATGCCTGGAATTGGAAAAGCCATTGGGAGTGGTGTTATTTTGCTGTGCAGTACAGCACAAACTGTCAGCTGGTTTGTTTTGTTTGCTAATGTAGCCCAACAGGTGACTGGTGGGTGAATTTAATCCGCTGGAGAACACACAGTTCCTGGATAGGTTTTGAGATATGCCCAATAGTGAAGCCATTTCCCTGGACACCTACAAGGGTTGGGGTTGCGAGTTGTTTGCTTCCCCTTTGCTTTGTTTTTAACAGAGAGCAGACCTCATTTATTGGAACAGGAAAACCAAGCGCTCTATTAAAGTCATGATTACGCTGCCGCCAAGTATTTGGGATGCTGGAGTTAGGAGTTTTCCTTCACTAAGAAAAATCTCCCTGATCCCCTTCACAGGTAAATCTCTACACACCTTTCAAAGGTCAGCTTTCCTTTGTGTTCCCCTTGTGTCAGAATCATTTGTTTCATACTGGTAAGTTTCAGATGAAAACAAGAGTATCTCAGTGATTCAGAACTGAAGCACCCCTGTTCAGGTTTGCAGTAGAAAACAGCTTTCTAATGAGACATTTGTGTGTCTTCAGGAGCTCCAACCATCACCCAAAGAGAAGACTGCAGTGCTACAGATGCTGTCTAATTAATCCTCCCTGCACCTTTGGTGTATAGAGGGTATTAACCTCAATTTACAGATCAGAAATAGGAGGCAGGAGGGAGATGATTGACAGCTGTAACGAGCACATTGCTTCACTCAGCCAAGGATTACAGCTCATGGCTCCCAATTCCCTCATTAGTAAGCTATATAGCTCTTCCAATGGACCAGAAATGAATATTGGGGAATAAAGCAAAATATTTTCCTTTAGATGTTTGTGTTCCTGCAAAATACCTTGCTACTGAAGGTGATTACAAGCCCTGCTTCTGCCACTGTCACCTCTCCTGGCTTTGTTAATGACAAATTCATCTTGAGGGAGGAAATATCTGCTGTCACACCACGTCATAGGAGGAAGCATTACAGAAATGTAACTATTCAGCAGTCTTCAGGGGATCTGGCTGTGCCGGGGGCTGTTCTTCACATGCTGCTTAAGGCTCCCATGCTGCTTTATTTGCTGAGCGTTTCGGTCCTGGTGCCAATGGAAGCCAGTTTCATCAACAGTGTTTTCTGGCAAGAGAACATAAAATTGATTAAAAATTAATTCAAATCACCTTAGTAAAATCTTAGAACTTTGTGTAAGTCCAACAAGTGAAAACCAACACTGCGCTGTAGATGACACAGCTTTTTTGCATACATTGAGGCTGTTCAGCCTGGAGAAGAGAAGGCTGCATAAAGACCTCAGAGCAGCTTCCAGTAGCTGACATGGGCCTGCAAGGATGCCAGAGACAGACTCTTCATCAGGGGCTGTAGCAACAGGACAAGGGGTAATGGGTTAAAACTTAAACAGGGGAAGTTTAGATTGGATATAAGGAGGAAATTCTTTCCTCTTAGGGTGGTGAGGCTCTGGAATGGGTTGCCCAGGGAGGTTGTGAATGCTCCATCCCTGGCAGTGTTCACGGCCAGGTTGGACAGAGCCTTGGGTGGCATGGTTTAGTGTGAGGTGTCCCTGCCCATGGCAGGGGGGTTGGAACTGGATGATCTTAAGGTCCTTTCCAACCCTAACTATTCTATGATCCTATGATTCTAGGATCTTAAGGTCCTTTCCAACCCTAACTATTCTGTGGTTACATGCAAGCAGCAGGCCTTCGTGCAGGCAACAATCCCTAGGAGAAATTCCAGTGGCTCCAAGGCATTGCCCCATGACAGTTGATTTCATTATTGCATCTCTTCAAAGGGTACAGAAGAACACATCACAGTGTCACAGAGATGCTTGTGGATTTATGGCCTCATCCTACCTACTCAAACCCCTTCTATATCTCCTATCTGTGGACTTTAAATCTTAAACTCCTGGAGGTACTTTGGGTTTAACAGAGAGGTTTTCCAGAAGAAAGTTGTTTGGGTTTCCCCCCACACTGGAAAAGAAACATTTTTCTATCAAAATCTGTAAGATGCGTAATTGTGCTGCAAAAAGTATTCCCATTTTCCTGAAACGGAAGGGTTGACGCCACCCCGACTGGAACACCGCAACTTTCCCTTTCACTTGCAATACAATGATACAATTTCTGAGAAGGGAAAAACACTTTCATCAGTGAAAAAAAAACCACCCCAGTTTATTTTTGTTTTTGAGATTTTCTTCCCCTTTGGAAACTTTTATTTTTTTCCTGTCATTCCAGAATGTGTTTTCTCTGATTCCAGATTTTTTCCATAAATAACAAGTCCGATTCCTGCCCTGCTCTGTTGCATCCTTTCTGCAGGGTCCTCCCAGGAATGGCATGCCTCAAGGATTAAAGAGATGTAATGTTTGTAGAGAGATAAAGATTAAGTTCACTCCGTTCTTAGACCCCATGCCGGCTCCGAGCACGAGGCTGGATTTCACTTTGCATGAGTTATCACAACTGAAACTGCTCTTCAGTGGAAACCACTATGCAACCATCCATTTGCAGTTGTAAAAGTCAATATATTTAAGCCTGCAGTGCATAACAATGACCCCTATGGATCCTCCAACGTTTTTCTTGGATCTTTATAAGCCTGGTTTTAATATATTACTCATCTAAATTGTTCCTGGGACTTGATTATTTGCTGGAGTTAAATATCCAACCTTAAAAGATTTTTAAACATGTGGATGCTGAATTCCCCACTGCACTAGGCTTCATTTAGCTCAACTAAAACTGCCATGCCATAAAAAAATGCTTAAAAACATCTCAAACGCACTGCTCTCCTGGTTGGTGGAAGCTCCCCAGGCAGGATTCCTTAGTGATGATAATCTCTGGTTTTGGCTGGCTCTGTTTAGTTCCCTGGAAGAATAAAATCCAGTTTTCACTGAGCTGGATATTGAGGTGAAAACAGAGGGCACAGCCATCCCCGCTCCCCTGCAGTGTCCTTCCCCGTAAGTACATGGATACTGGATGTTCCCCAAGGAAAAAAATGTGGCAAGCCAAGCGATCTACAAAACAATATTGATTTATGCTCTGCCTCTGAAAAGGGGATGAAATCACCCTTGTTTGCATGTGCAAGGGCTCGCTGCATTCCTTCCAGTCACCGGGGCTGTGGAGAGCCCTCCTTGGTATTCAAAGGCAAATCCCTGCAGATCCATCCCAGCACAGGGCCAGTCCCTTTGTAACCATCAACTGCTGGGGCAAAGCCTGCTGAATCCAAAGCAGATCAAAGCCTGTTCAGCCTTTGCCTGGTTTGCTTTCCAAGAGCCAGCTCCTTTTCAGGATGCTGGTGTAAATTAGGGGCCAGTCTGTTGAAGGAGATGGAGCTATAGGAGAAAAGAACTGGGTCAAAACCCAAAGAAGCCAAAAACCACTGCACAGAGTTCAGCAGGCGAGTTTCCTTCCCTATTTCTTCCACAAAGGAGAACTGGGTCATCTTGCAAATAACAGCACAGAGCCCAGATTTTTCCCCCTCCTCCCCTTTTCTATATGGAAGGGCAATTGGGCAATCATGTGAAGAAATGCATAAAGCTCAGCACAAGGTGCAGGGATTTTTTCCTCCTCCTCCTCGAAATAATCTTCCCTTTTGTTCTACAGCAATGAACACTAAAAGGGGGATGCTTTCAGAGTGTTAGGATGGTGTTCAAAGGCAGCACCATACATTTACCCCTAAACCATCAGGTTTGTCTGCCTTTATGACTGAAGTTTGGGGGGAAACACCCCAATTTATGCACCTTTGATTGATATCTGTGGGAATTCAGAGTGTCTTTATCGCAGCCATGCAGTCAGATTTCTGCGGGTTTGGCCACAGAGCCTCCCTCCAGCTTCAACAACTTGATATCCAGAATGAATAAATCTGATCTGTGCATGCTTTTACAACCCCCTTGTCTTATTCCCCCAGGGAAAAATATCATCTGCCCTACTGTTGACTGCTGGGATTTACCCCCACAGTATCTCTCCCATCAACATGTGATTAATCACCCTAATCCAGCAGGCACCTCTCAGGAACTCAAGACCTTTTACAAGCCTTAATTAAGCCTTGCAACATCCCCGTAAAATAGGTTGAAGCTGGGGTTAAATGATTTGCCCGAGGTGACAGAGCAAATCAGAAGCAGGGATAGAAATCAGAAGGAAAGCTGCTTCTGAACCACATGCCTGGCTCCCAGGACTGATGCAGGATAGCAAAGGCTTTCTATTTCTCTTTGGAGATGGGGTCCTACAGCCACCAAAGCCATGCAACCATGCAGGGAGGCTTCCCCAGCTCTCACCCACTGCCTCCGTCCCTTCAGCCCAGGCATCCCCTGCAAGCCCAGCCTTCCACTTGCCCATGGTCCACATTGGCAGCTCCCTAACCTACTACTTGTACAAGCTTTAAGCGCCTGTAAAGTGGCAGCTGAACCCTGCCCTGGAGCTGACCATCTTTCATGAGCCACCTCTCCCCATTTGACACCCAAATTGGAGTCAGACCCTCGACACTTGGCACATCATCAATTGCAGAGAAATCAGAGCCAGGTGTGAGGATGCTGGGGAACGGGAATCTCCCTCATGGCCTCTGTAATCAGAGGGGAAAATCACAGCCAGGAGGGTGAATCCAGGGAAGCCTTAAGGGAGGCAAAATTAGTGAAGGAGGGGAAAATGCATAACCTCTCTTCATGGTTTGGGAGCTCCTGACACCTTGCCATGGGGCTTTTAGTGGGATCACTTCTTTTCTAGACCCAGGTATTAAGGAGTCTCATGCAGGTGGCGGGGAGGGCTGACCATGTGCTTGCTTCTTTCTCTCCATCAAGTTAGGAAACACAATCGTGGGTTTCTGAGGTTGGTTTTCTTTTCTATTTCCCAGGAAAAAAATCTTTGCTTTGTTTTCCCTTAATTTGCCCCAGGTTTTCATAGCAGACTGTATCATTAAACAAACAAACCAGCAACCCAAAATCAATGTTCTCTCAGCTGGTTTAGTGGTTTCCTCGATGACCCAGCAGCAAAAGCAGACTGGCAGGGGAAGGAAGATCTCTCCCTGTGGTACCCACCAAAGTGGGATCTGTTGGGAAAGACAAATACCCACAGCTCCAGGAAAATGTCAGTTTTCCTTAAAGAAGAGGGTTCCCCTATCCTTCCCTCCACTGCTTGCACCACTTCTTCAATGTATTCCTAAAGGTCATCCAAGGAAACATTATTCCTAGAAGATTCCTCCTCCCCCAGCACTTTACATCTCCTCTCACAAACTTTACACAGCTTGGCATAACATTGACTAAATCAAATATAACCAATTCTGTGAGGAAATGATGGTCTGAGGCCCTCACGCATGCTCTGCCTGTGAGAAGGAGGGAGAGCATCAGCCCTTTACAGCACTGCTGAAAGCTTTAATGAAACATGAGAATAAGCAAAGCCACCAGATCCCCACTACTGTTTGGCATCTGCCTTATCTATTTTCTTGGGGGCCAGCTCATGTCCTTGGCATATATCTAACCTGAGGGACATCCTGCCAAAGAGATTAACAATTCAGACAGAAAGCATTATCCACTGATGTGATGCCCTGCACACAAAGGACCTCTCCAACCCAGTGGCCTTGTCTACCATGACTCCCTGGAGACAGCCTCTGCAGCACACCAGCTGATGGGGACAGAAGGCTGGTAGAGCTGGTGGCCCCATGCAGCATCCCTGGGGATGCTCTCGCGTGCCGGTCCCAGGAACAGCTTGTCTCCAGGTTCGCTTTGGTGTACACATCTGGGCAAGTGGCATACCGCAGCGCTCAGGCATCTCTGCCTCGAGAGGTCCCCTGGGAGCTGCATCAAAAATGCTCCTCTTCCTTCTTCACTTCTGCTCTGCAGTTGTATCATCCCCCCTGTCACACACATGCTGTGCACAATCAGCACACGAATTCCAGCGACTCCGACCATCCCTGTCCGATGCGCTCGGTCTGGAAGTAGTTAATACAGAAGGTGCCAGGAAATGGTGCTAAAAATAAGCTGCGTGGCTCCTCCATACAACATGCCATGCCTTACACGTGGCTTTTTTAGTGTGGTTCTTCAGAGCAGCCCTTTACAGAACATGCTCCTGGGGTTGTTTTTCCTACACCTATTTCAACATCCCGAGCCGAGCCACAGGCAACGGGTGGGTTGCTCCCCCATTGCATCC